CGCATGAGTTGACTGAGAGACAGATGGAAAATCGAAGAGCCACTTCCGAAATTTTGCTTTTGCGGCATGAAAGAAAGAGTTTCCTGCATCGAATTGTTACTGGCAATGAGAAGTGGATATATTTCGAGAATCCCAAACGCAAAAAATCGTGCCTTTCATCTGGCGAAGCATCAACATCGACGGGACGGCCAAATTGTTTCGGAAAGAAGACAATGCTCTGCGTTTGGTAGGACCAGAAAGGAATCGTGTACTATGAGTTGCTGAAACCGGGCGAAACTGTCAATGGGCATCGTTACCGACAACAACTGATTAATTTGAACCATACATTGCTCGAAAAACGGCCAGAATGGGACACGAGACACGAACGAGTGATATTGCAGCACGACAACGCTCCGTGCCATCACACTTCCATCGTCCAGGACACCATCGAAACGCTGAAATGGGATCTGCTACTGCACCCGCCATATTCATCAGACCTGGCCCCTTCCGATTATCATTTGTTCCGGTCGATGGCGCATGGCTTGGCTGGGCTACACTTGGCCAATTTCGAAGAAGTGCAAAATTGGTTGGCTGAATGGTTTCGGTCCAAAGACGCGTCGTTTTATCGTCACGGTATTCATGTATTGCCAGAGAGATGGCAAAAATGTGTAGCTAGCGAGGGACGATACTTTGAATAAACCGTTTTTTGTATTTCTCTTGAAATTTTCCATTTTTCATTTATAAAAAAAAACCGGAAACTTGGTTGCGCACATAGTATGTGTGTGCATATGTATACAACTGAACATAAAATACGCGTATATGTGTACTGTTTACCATATTTCAATGTATACTGTGTACCAAAATTAAATTCCGTTTATAAAAGTTTTTTGTTAATAACTTTTTAACAAACAACATGCGATGGTTAAAACCTTCTGAACGTTACTTAGGAAGGTGACCTCTATCATATATATACTGTGCGTATTTATATGTGCACATTAACTTATGCAGTGTCGCAAAATTACATGGCATTAATGAAACATTTTTTGTTAATAACTTTTTAAGAAAAAACGGCTAAAACCTTCTGAAAGTTACTCAGGATCATCACTTTTACAACATATATCAAGGTTAAGATCATTCGAGGGGAGTACACTAATGTAAAGGTTTATCCTTTTGGCCCATTCTGTATATATATTGAATAGTATTACTTATTAAATTCAATTCCAAGGGAATTTCTTTTGTACTCTTTTTAATAATCGTGTGTGTGTGTGTGTGTGTGTGTGTGTGTGTGTGTGTGAAGAGATAACACACTTTAATATAATTTATTAAATGCTTTTTTTATTATATCGCTCTAAATCTATAATATTCTCACATATTACATTACAAATATAATCATAATAACTACAATTATATGTTTTACGTTTTCCATTTTATAATGTTTATGTTTTATAACATTTTTTATTTATGAGAATATAGTAAATAATACGAGATATCGCACTACATATTCTATTACAACAAACAAAGCATAGTTCATTATTTTGTAGTACTTATTTTGTCTAAATATAACTGTTCAGAAGTATAAGAAATCGATTTGATATATAAGACATAACAAATCTCATTATATTCTGTACATAATTATGTATTTGCGCACTTATGATAATTATTTTCACACCGACAATGTGTGTTAAAGTCCCAAGTAGTTTTAAGCGACGTGACCATATCTTCATATTGATTAGTTTTCTAGTCCATTTCTTAAACTTGATCATCTTATAGGAATTCGTCCGGTTCTCGTGGTGCATCGAGATCTCGATAATGTATGACTGGTCGAAAGTCACTACTACCGCCACTGGAATGTTAAATATTTATTAGAACAATTAGGAGCATCGATATTATTGTTAAAATTAATTTGTTATATTAAATTACATTCTGTTATGTTAAATTACATTCTTATATATGTAAAATATAAATATAAATTATACATGTATATTTCAATAAAATTATCTTCTATTGTTTATATAGAAAAGAAGGAACAAATTCACATATTTCATCAACCACATGAACAAAGCTTATTAAAACACATTTCATTAATAATAATGTGTTTATTGTTAACTTTATATACTTTATTATTACTATAAATTGTATTATTTATGCAATTTGGCCATTGAAAATTAATATAACGTAATATTGTGTAATATGATGACCAACCGGGCATAGGGTTGAAACGGAAATGGGATAAAATAAAATAAGATATCATTAGTAACAAATAGGTTTATTTGTTATTCATATTATAAATTTACAGCATCGATGGATCTTTAGACTTGTTTGCATTGACATTGTTTTAAGATTTCACTATGATATTCTGAAATTAGTTCAATGAAATGAAGATCAATATAGATATCTTTTTGTTTACTTCTGTAGAGAACTATAAATGTATTTAAATCTTGAAACACATATTACAGTAGGTAAAGAAGTATTTTTATGCCACATTTTTTTAGCAGATTTCGAAAATTCACAATTTTTATTTAATTTATATAAAAAATATTATTGTAGTATTTATTGAAAAAATATAAATTGTTTTAATTTTTAATAAAATTTTATAATAGATACATTGGACAATAACACATTATAACAATAATTTTTCTATTTAGTACAAGATTATCTTTCAAAAAGATACTTGGTATATATAAATACCTTTTCTCCTACTGTAAATAAATTTAACTCGTTTATAATTAAGATAAAAAATTGTGCTGATTTTGTAACACCATTTTGGACGGTATTAATCTTACTTTACTTCTTTTATCAACAATGTGTTACATAATCCAGATATGAATCTGTTGGCACAATCTGTAATAATATTATCGTTTTATCATTACTGAGTCCGACGCAAATTACTTGCGTACGTTTCAACAAAACTTAGAACATATCCATGTCTGGCTGGTCCAAATCATTATAACTAATAATAGGTCTTGAAGCATCCGGAGCTGCCCTGTAAAACATTGTATCGCTATATATATATATTCAGTCTATTAACTCCAATGGGCCATGAATGTACTTGCAGCATAAGCGTTTCTTAAAACTAAACTTAAAGGTGCTTTATACAGCGCTGCTTTTATTCACCTTGAGCAAGTTTCTTAATTCGACAGCGAATTCGTTAGTAAAACTTTCTTCTAACTTTCTTGTTTTTTATTCGTTAGTGTCTAAAATTTTGAAGTCACAGCATCTAGTGATCATTGTGACAAAGCTGAATATGTGCAACGCTCTCGTCAAGTAAGTAGCTAGGTGACTTTAGTAGCAGCATCAAGAAAAGCTCCGTGTCAAGACAACAGCAAATAAATCATCGAGTAACTAGCAAATAATTTTCTGAATAAGTGGACATGCTTTCTTCAAAAGCTCCTCAAGTTTCTCGCACATTAATCGCAATATTTTGCAATACACGATTCCACGATATTTTAATGTTAGTTCTTTTAAAAAATTGTTTGATGCTCCCTAAGCTAGTTTTCTACCTATCCATTTCTGTATACATCCTATATCCTTCCTTTTCTTTTCTGTTTTATCATAAAACCACAAATTTCAGCTTGAAGAGCTTGTGTACAAAGTAAAACAGCAGCTTGAAGTATGTTATTCCGTGATGCCATGACACTTGTATGAGACTATCCTTATTAAATTTTCTTCACAATACTGGTGATTTCCTACTGTTTATCAGCAACGTATGAATGATTTAAACATATGAATGCTAGTAATTTGGTCAGCCAGAAATTCGCTCTGGGAGAGCGAGAAGTTGATGATAAAAAAACCAGCGACAAGTGTTAAAAGCTGCTCCGTATAGAACACTCTTTAATTTCAATGTGCGTGTAACTTATCGATGCACATTTTATCAAGAAAAAAAGTGGCACATCAACTGTATAAACTTTCCTTAGATTCACCGACTATACGATTATCTAAACCAGGGCTCGGAACAGTTTGACAATTTCGGCTGATTCTCGGGAGCTACGTTTTCTATCTCCCCCTTGTCACGCGGCAGGCCAAGAAAATGACGGTCGCGACCAGTCACCAGGCTCCAAGCTTAGAAGTACGACCGTCACTTTCTTGGTTTGCCGCGCGGCAAGGGGGAAATAGAAGGCGTAGCTCCCGAAAATCGGCCGAAATTAGCAAACTGTTCCGAGCCCTGATTTAGACGTATTCTTTATCTTTAATAATATTCCGCGAAGAAACATAAAAGAAAATATAGCTTACCGTCCTCGATTAAAACCACCACGATTAGGACGAGGATTACCAAATCCACTGCCAAATCCACCACTGTAGCCAGAACCATAACCACCTCTGCTACCACCATATCCACCACCGTAACTTCCAAATCTGTTAATACATATTTGTGTTGCATATTATAATCATATTCTTGACAAAATTTCACGTATGTTACAACAAATATATTTTTTGTTCTAAGAGAAATAAAAATAATTTCCCACATGATAATGATTATGCGTGTATATTTGTAAACTAATTGATTACTGATAATTTCTGTACTTACGAACTACAACCATATGGTGGAAAATTGTCGCGTGGTCCTTCCCTCAGTGGAGTTTTGTTGCCAGGATGTTCGGGAAGTTGAGGTCTCTTTGGATCTCTCAAATAATTGTTAAAATATTCGGCTTCTGCTTTAACTTCAGCAACTTTCTCAGAATGTTTGTTGAAAATATGTTTGCGGATAAAATCAGGTCCCTTGAATTTCTTCCCGCTAAGAGGACACAACCATTTATCTTTTGATAATTCTTGAGTATTAGCTTGTACAAACTTTTCAACTTCACTGTTCATATATTAAGGAAATATGTTTTTAACGCACATTATTGTATAGAAAATAATTTCGAAATACGATTATACTATATATTATGCTATTATATGATTATACTATATATTATAATAATATAGCAATAAATCAAAATATATTCGAAAGTTTAAAAATAAAGCTTATATTATTTTATAATTTAAATCTTCAGTAAGTTAAAATATTCAATTTTAAAATAAATTGTTATGGATTATTTTGCATATTCAAAATACATAGAGAAAAAAGGATACACTTCGGCATTCTTTGCACCTAGTTTGTCAAACTCTTCGGTAGATAAAGTCGCAATGGGTTGTAAGAAAGCAGACATTTTACTTTCAAAGTTACGACAATATTCCGACAGTTCGGCGCTTGCAATCTTAGCAGTAGGTGGAGATCCTCTCACGTGCATTATGCCACATCTATTTGGCATCTCATCCTCGTTTGGATATTCGCAGTGATTGTAATAATCGACGGAATGGACAATTCGCAAATACAGTATCAATCTGTCTAACACCTACGAAAGATAAGACAAGAGTGTCTAAGTAGACGTGTACAATAGGTGGATTATTTCGCTTATGCCTATATTCTAACTCTCTTATATCGGAAGTATTTCTTTTACTTAAGAAAAATACTTTTGATGTAAGGGAGTTAAGGTACAGGTGCGTAAACGAAATAAATTATTCTTATTTCTTAGTCTAACTTACGTTAAGTTTACTCCGCACATTGTAAATAGCCGCTTACGCGCGAATATTATTTTATAAAAAATAATCTATTATATTAAGAAGTTCCTGAGTATTCGCCGCGGAGCTCTTGATTAATGACGTCAAAAACGAGAAAACGTATGTGCAAAATTTGCATGTTATTTCCAAATAAAAAAATACATGACAAAATATTTCTAATCGCTCTCTCTTAAGCATACTTGTAAATTATTCTGAAAACTATCTTTTTCTATTTTAACAGTTAAAATAGTCGTAAAATTAACGTGATAAATAATCTTCCCTTTAACCTATTTATCTTTATTCATGATTTTGCCACGTTTATTTTTATTAATCATCAAAGAAAAGAAAGATAGTTTTCGAAACGTTTTGCAAATATACTTAAGCAATCTCTGAAGTCTTTTTATACAAATATCTATTTTTATTTGAAAATGACATGCAAGTATTTTCAACGTGTCATTTATAGTTTCTGACGTCACAATATGACATAACATCATAATAGAACATAACTGTGGTAAGTATCCAGATTTGATATTCTTATCTGGAGAAATAAAACAATCGATTTTTTATTGCATATTTTGAAAATATATCTCAAGAACGTATTCTTAAAATGGCATGTCTAGGTTGGGAAAAATAACAAAGATATAATCAATTGAGTGACGAATTAATAATCGAGCAAGTCATGTTTCTAAACGATAATTTTGGAAATTATTCGACTTATTACAACTGAAATTTTTTAGTCTGTGTTTTTAATGAAGGATTTTATTCAATTTCACGAATTATGGCTGTAATAAGCATCAATATTAATCAATAAAGATATTTGCAGAATTTCAAAATGCAAAACGCAGATTCGAGTATAATCGTAAATAAAAATAAAAGAAGCTAAAAGATCTCGTAAAGTAGAACAATACGTTTTGCTCCATGTGAAAGAGAAAAATATTCTGTATAATGGACGAATAATAGATTAAAAATAAGAGCCGCAAAAGACTATTATCTTTATTGAAATTGTTTTGAAAACTTTAAACATGTTCTCGAAACGAAATTTCGCGAATTGATTAGCATGTCTTAGGACAGAGACACATTCGATTTTTCCTATTTTTACAAACATAAAAGTTGATGCCCTGTTATTGTCCCTATTACGATGAAGTTGATATCTTTAATATTTCGATTTTTTTAGACTACCAAACCTGCAAAAAACTGGTCAAAGATTTTTTTTCTTTTAAGTTATGCAATTTTGTAAAAAGAAATTTAATATTTGTTCTCAGTCGTGATATATAAGAACAATAGTCATAAATTTATAATTTTTTTTCGTTTTAGTTTTAAAAGTCTATACAACGTCCGGTATCGTGACAATCGCGCGCGCGCGCGTGCAAACAAAACTTTTCTATAGCGCTACTAAATTATTTATAATCTTATTACTATTGAAGATAATGATCTATATAAATTACTATATATAGTTAAAGTATAGATAAATATTTATGCAAAATTATAGAGTTGTATGTCTTATTTCTTTAAAAAAATCCTAAAAGCCACATTAAACATGAATATTTCCTTAAAATCATATACTAATACTATAATTCATGTTCTAAATTGTTTTAATTTACCTTTATTAAAACAGGATCTCTTTCAATTGAACTGTCTCCATCACCTAACTGACCTTCCTCTTGATCTCCTGACATGCCCAATAATTCTTCTTCTTCAGCTGAAGCTTCTTCTATTAAATAGTCAGTTATATTTTTCAACACTGGATTTTTAGACGACAATCCAAAAGCCTAAAACGACATATGCAATTTAATACAATTGTTTTTAGTAAATAGTAATATAAAAAATTTTGTTTACAGCTTGTTCGACGTCGTGATTACTCTCAGTAGTCTTATTTTCTTTCTCATCCTCTTGTTTCGTATTTTCGTCTTTTTTTTCTTCGTTCCATAAACCCACTCTGTTATCTAAATTATGAACGATTTTAGCACTGAGCTTAATATCATGTCTAACTATTTGTTTATGCGACGTTAAACCATTCACTGATCGAATGCGTCGCGACAAGTCTCTGTTGACTATAGCACCAAGTTCACAATCACGAAGCTGTATAAAAAAATGTAGAAATTATGAAATCTATCTGATGAATATATTTCTTTAAAAACAACAGGAATAAACTTACTCGAATATTATTTAAACTCCAACATATTTCTTTAATGTTCACCTGTCTCTCAAATGAAACCCAACCACGACGGAACCATCGTCTCTCTGGTTGTGGGTCTGCTATAGCCACGCGTAGAAATCCAGGAAATCTTTTACACATCTACAACGGTAAATATTGTAAATATTGATGAATTATAATTAATGTAAATGTTTAGTTTAAAATGAAATTGTTAAAAAAAAATTGTGAATGAATTATTCAATCAGGGAATTTAATTGTTGGAATATATTACTTTATAGATAAGAGATATTAATTTATAGAAAGAGAATAGTTAATAGAATAGATAATATCGCAACTAACAGCTTCAACCTCCGCCTTGGTAATAGTAGGTGCTAAATTACGAAGAAAAATGCTGCTAGTTTTATGCAAAGCTCTAGGCTCTTTCTCCTTATCTTCACTGGCCAAATCAATCACTGCTTCCGGTTCAATCGTCGACTTTTTAATATTTGCAGTTTCCAAATCTGGATTTTTTTCTTTATTTTCTTCTTTAGCATCTCCTTCGTCGGCTTCTTCGTTACTGGCCTCTGTTTTCTCATTAACAGCTTAAGACAATAGTAATTTATTTAAAATAAAGATATAATATACGCACAAAAAATAGTATTAATTTACTTTTACTTACGAGTCTCTGGTTTTGGTGTATCTGGTTTATTGCTATCACTGCCAGAAGAACTACTGCTGCTACTGCTACTGCAGCTACTATTGCTATCAGTACGTTTTCGTTTCCTTGTAGTTTCTGATTTTTCTGCTGTAATAAAATAGATTATAATTTATATGAGTGAATCTTTATGTGAAAAATGCTTAGATATACGTACGCGCTTTTTCGTCATTAGTAGTCTCTTCAATATCTTTATATTCGTCATTTTCTTTTATTTTGGCCGAATCAGATATTGCGTTTTCGTCTTTTTCCGAATTGGCGACTTTCATATCGATATTCTCGCAATTTTTAGATTTTTTCTCACTCTGCTGTGTGTCGTCCGTTTTATTTTCATCACTGAAATAAATAGTAAAATAATTAAAAACTTATTTCATTTTAATTAATTAATCGTATTAATAGAATGGATATTATTTTTTAATATCTTATTGTCTATTATTTTAGAGTACCTTTTTTCATGTTTCTTTTCTATAACAGATTTGGTTTTGTTTTCATCCTTCTCTTTCGAGATATCTTTAGTCATCATAAGCTTAGGTAATTTGATGTTTAAGACTTGTAAATCTTCTTCTGTACCTCCTTCCAGTTTAATAACTACTGCATCTAAGAGACGAAGTAACAAATCAGCTTGATCGGCGTCAACAGACACTTTATCTATTTCGCCTAATTTTAGCATCTCCAGAAAAACTTCCACTCGTTTCTAAAATAGATAAAAATGGATATCTATCAATATTAAACAAATCAGTATCAAAGATAAAAGAATGATAAAAATGAATGAGTTATAAATATTGGCATTGAATCTACCTTAAGAGCTGATACTTGTTCGTCTTTCCTCTTTACAGATTCCTCAGGATGATATTTTATTTTGAACCTGCCGATCAACAAAAAAAAAATACAATAAGTGAACGCTCACAAAATAATTAATAATTTTATCAGTAATAATATAAATCTAGAATTGAAATGCACATACGTATATATATAGCTCAGTGACACAGCTAATTCTGTAATTTAAAAAAGGCAACGCGGATAAAGTCAGCGCCTTTTTATCTAAATATGCGATATATACGTCATGTATATAGATATAAGTCAGTAGAATAGTATTGCAATAAATTACAAAATCAAAAACAAATGTTTTAAAATTTACCTCACATTATGCATAAGCATGCATATATACCCATAAACTGAAAAAACTCCTATTTTAAATTAATTATAATTTCATATACACCGGGATATATCTGTAGTACATCTTTGTATAATGTTAAAAAGAATTATCTTCATAGAGCATGTAGAAGAGAATAGTAAAATGGCAGAATTAATTATCAGTAAGAGATTTCGAATTGTTATATAGTTGTCGTCATTAATTTTAACTACATTAAATTAAAAAATACGGAATATTATACATGTTTCAATTAAATGCGAATTATTACTTATGATAACCCAATATATCTTGTAAAAATTACAAATATATCTTGAATATATTCAATGGTATCAACATTGTCAGTTACAGTATGAAGCCTCACCTGTAGTCATTTTTTTACTCGCATTTGGATTTCTTGTCGACACCGAGCTTTATCGTAAAGACAGTATAGTACTCAAATATGAAAATAAATAACGGGTTTAGAACGCGGCCTATACGCAAGCATATTTGGGCTTTGCGCGCCCAGCTTGCAATTTATTTAGCTACCTAACAGGCACCTCATATCTTCAGCGATGCGCGAAACGCGAAATGCATAAAATATCGCACGAAAAAATAAACGAGCGAGATGACCAGTGCCCAAGGTATAAGGTGATGGCGGCGATATGCTGTAGGAATAGACAGAACTGGTCATATTGTTTGGAATTAACTACAACGTCGTGTCTGCAATTTATCAAAAATTATCAACCATATTACACCTCTTCCAGGCATGTAGTTACATACGTACACGCATGGACAGAGTTCTGCATGACCGACATATCTTACAGTGGTTATCTTGAACTCTACTTAATTCGCCAATCTTTTTGTTAGCAAATCAATAAAAAAAAAGGTGAGAAATTAATTTTTGTACAGTTGTGAATGTTAAAAATAATACTGTTAATTTACTTAAAAGTAAAAATTTAGCCACTGTAAAAACTAAATTATGTTTGTTTTTCTTCCATTGGAAATGTTGTGATAAAATCGTCGAATCCTATATACGGAATAACCCCCAAAGAATATGAAAGAAGAACATAAAAATTAATATACCATTCTTCATCTTTATGGGCGACAAAGAATTCATTCATCTGCTGTCTTCTGAATTCCGATTTGTACTCATTGTATCGTTTAATTGCCTCTTCGTCGGTAATAGTGTCTTCTTGAGTCCCAAGAAATGCTTTGAACGACATTATTGGTGGCTGAGTCTCGATATTTGAATTACTGAAATTTCCAGCTACTTCTCGACTGAAACCAGAACTGATTATAAATACACTATATTTACTCCAAAATACTTAAAAAATATTTATTCCAAAATATTTAATTTAAAATAATCGTTGAATAGTACTATTAACCTTCCGAGTGCGAAGTACGAGAGATAAATAATCGCAGAGGACGAGATATTATGAGTTATCGTACGACAATAAATGAGAAAAAGATAAAATTTTGAATAAAAATCGAAAGCAATGAATAGGAATATATGAAATTTTATTCGTTTTAAAAATATATGAAAGAACATAAATATATAACTGTTGCTTATGTTGACAGTATAACCTAAAGAAATTTAAAGGATACATATATGCATCCACAATTCATGTCAATAATATTTGTTGGATGCATGTGTCTATAGCACTCAAGAGATTAATTCAGAATATATACCATATAGACCATACAGTTTGGCATATTGTATAATTATCAGATTTCTCTATTCATATATTTTATATTTTTTTATTAAATTTTAACTATATTAAGCAACAGTACATCTTATTCGTGTGTCTACATGAAATAACAGATCTCCAGATACAAATAATAATTGCATATCTTCCTCTTAGTAAAGTTTTGTACGATATAAATGTGGAACTACCTTAACTTAGCTAACAATCTTGGAGTCAAACGACTTCGTTTTGGTGGGATTCTTATAAATCCTGCTCTCTTCATCATTTTTATTACTTGCTATGATCCAGTAAAATTCAGAGAAACAGAAACATTCAGACATGATAAAACAAACAAACCTGCTAGTATTGCTGTGGTTGCCATAGTGATGGTTACCATGGTGAGGAGGTGGATAATGATCTGGACTCCAAGAACTTGTGGCACCACCGCTGCCGCCGCCGCCGCCGCCACCGCCGCCGCCGCCGCCGCCGCCGCCGCCGCCACCACTGCCACCACCGCCACCGTCACTTCGACCACCATAATAATCATGTCCATATCTTGGTCTGTCATCCCAGTCAAATCGCATTCTCTTCATGGGTGGTGCCATTTCTTGAGATCTTGCAGGACTATAACGATCCCGTCCTCCACTGCCTCCACCTCGATAATCCCGATAATCAGGACGTTGTCTAGGACGGCTTGACCACTCTCTATGAAATTCATTATCATTATAACTATAGTTACAATATCAAATAAAAAGGCATATCTTTAGGTTTACAACAATCCTTTCAAATAAATCATATATAATCATAAGCAAAGTAAGAATTTACTTATTACATATAAAACAATATACATAATTTGGTATAAGTTGTACCTATCAACCCAATCATCACGTCTACGATCATCTCTGCGTCCTTCTCGTGAATAAGATTCTGTTCTTTCACCTCTGAACTTGTCACGTCTTTTCCTATCATATTCATCATCAGAATCTGCCATTTTCTTAAATCACTAGATGTTTACTTCTGGAAACTACATAAAAATATAACTGATTAGAACTAATTGAGACTTAACATATTCAAATTAGTATCGTGTACTAGATCACAAAACAGATACTATGGTTAATATGTATATCAATATCTTTTCAAATTGTGATAAAATAATTGTTTAATAATTGCCAGTTTCTTTGATGTAAGTAGAAACAAAATTTCTATTATTATAAACAAAGTATCAAAAACAAATTCATTATAATAAAAATTTACTTGTAAGGACTACATAAAACTGTTGTGTTCAAATATAGGACCGTGTTCTGGACACAAAGAAAACGTTAAATATACCTTCTTGATTGTAAAACTGAAATAACATTCATATAAAATTCATATAAGAAAAATAAAATGGAATCTGATCGTTACATATAATGACAAATGTGTCCAGAATATAAGAGCGAGGGGTGAGGAGTGCTACGTTCCACGACACTTTACACATGACTTTGAAAATATCGGACGCATTTCATGCGGAAACATTCAATACTTGAAAACAATTTAAAAAATTTACTAACAAGCAACACAGTAGTCTCACGGAAATCTAAAGCAAAGCCAGGTGAAATTTATTATGAAAACTCGCGTATCACTTTCATTAATACTCTACACGTTCAAGGTCCACTGTACGCGAATGGCGACTATGTAACGTGTCGTAGCGTCAAAGATCTTTATCGATTCAACTTTGGCTGCGTTCCGAAATTCACTAGCCAGTACTGAAATTCTTGGTCTGTTCTTTTCAGCTGCATTACTAAACTGGTGCAATAATGGCTCCTGCACACAGGACGCGGTAATGCTTGCCGCGTGATGGAAGTCCGCGCGACAGCCAATCAATATGTTGTTTTTCCGCAGGAGCTAGAAGGTTATTACGGAAAACAGCATATTGATTGGCTGTTGCACGAACTTCCGTCGCGCGGTAAGCGCGCTTGTGTGTAGGAGCCAAAAGGCGTTTTTTTCGTTTCGTGACCACGATACCATTTGGTTGGTTGGTTGGTCCACTTAATGGCTCCTGTACATAGGACGAGGTAATGCTTGCCGCGCGGCGGAAGTCCGCGCGACAGTCAATCAAAAATGTTGTTTTTCTCTTTGACTATATAACCATGGACTGCTAGCCGCTAACTTGTGTCTGCAGCAAAAGGTCTATCTATATCTGCAGCGCCGCCAGAACCAAACAACAGCTATGACGTAAACTATCACATACTTGTGATTTCTATTTTACCATGGGTGTTTCCGATAATACCTCTCCGAGTTATTTCCCTAGAGCAGAAATAAGTTACAGACATCACCATCTACTACTATTATGTGATTCATGACAACTCAAAGTTAGGGCTATCGCACACAAATTGACATAACTGCATATGCATAGCATAAGACCGTATGTACCAATGAGCATCGAGTATTAAGTCGCCATATTGGTGTTCGATGCTTAATATTCGATGCTCATTGGTCCATACGATCTTATGCTATGCATATGCAGTTATGTCAATTTGTGTGCGATAGCCCTTAGGGCCTGAGCACAGACTTTTGCATAACGCATAATGCATAACACATAAGGAAATCAATCAATCAGAGTCATTCATTTTTATCCTGGAGAGGAAAATAAAGGTCTCTGATTAGTTGATTCCTTTATGCGTTATGCGTTATGCGTTATGCAAAAGCCTGTGCTCCCAGCCTTAAGCTGGTGGCACATAGAAAAACTTAAGCAGTAAAACGTAAGCAGTAAGCAAATTGACCAATCACAGTTATTGTTTCTTCTTACGGTCCAAGAATCAACGACTGTGATTGGTCAATTTGCTTACTGCTACGTCTTATTGCTTAAAGGGACGTCTACATTGGAAGTAAATAGCAAGAAGTAGGAAGCAAGAGTAAGAAATTGACCAACCACAGTCGAATGTGAGAAGAATAATCAACTATGATTGGTCAATTTCTTATTCTTACTTCCTACTTCTTACTGCTTACTTCCAATGTAGACGTCCCTTAAGTTTTTCTGTGTGTCACGACCCTTACTCAAAGCTGGTAGAACATAGAAAAACTTAAGCAGTAAGACGTAAGCAGTAAACAAATTGATCTATCACAGTCGTTGATTCTTCTTACGGTCCAAGAATCAACGACTGTAATTAGCTGATTCGCTTACTGTTTACGTCTTACTGCTTAAGTTTTTCTACGTGCCGTCAGCTTTAAGGGACGTCTACATTGGAAGTAAGCAGTAAGAAGTAGGAAATAAGAATAAGAAATTGACCAATCATAGTTGATTATTCTTCTCACATTCGACTGTGGTTGGTCAATTTCTTACTCTTGCTTCTTACTTCTTGCTATTTACTTCCAATGTAGACGTCCCTTTACGCTGTCTCACGACTGCAAGCAATGGGTTAAGCAGAACAATACAAATATCTCGTGACAAGTACACGAGATAATAATTTTTTAAAATTGTATTGTTGATTATAAAATCATCTGGTGTTGTTTTCTAATAAAATTTTATTTATTCTTAATTAAAGTTATATAACTAAATTAAAGTTATATTACATTAAAATATATATTATATTTTTCAAATATTATCCTAAAGTAAAAAGTCATTCTGTTTTAACCTATTTGCAAGTATTGTTTTTACATGACTCGTGCAGGTGCAAGTCCACAATAAATGCCATTAGGGTATATTGATGACAAAACAAGATAAATTTAAAATCTATTTTAATAATGTTAATATAGTTTATTCCCAGACAGCACAAAGACGTTTTAAAAAACGTGAAAACGTATTGAAAACGTATGTACTGCCCTTATAAAAATATCATACTAAGAATCATTGATAATTACTTATTTTCAGTATTAAAAATACTGGATAATAAGTAATTATCAATGATTCTTAGTATGATATTTCTATAAGAGTGCATATTGTATACTACATATTTAAAACGTCCATTTCAGATCCACAAACGTTTTTAGAACATTTTAAAAACATCCGTTGTTACTTTTATGGATGTTCAAAAGACATCCGAATTAAGGACCCACCGACTAAAACTGGACGTCCTTAGATCGAAAATAGAATGTTTGTAATTTTGAATATTGAATGTTCCTAACCACCAAAAGAATATTTAAAAGACATTTGAAAAAGCATTTTTAAAAACGTTAAAAATAATGAAATACCCAGACAGCACAAAATATTTATAAAATATTTACAAAATATTTATAAGATTTATTTGAATATTTTATAAATATTTACCAAAATATTTCATAAATATTTTTATGACCTTAGTTTCAATAGATCATAAATATTTATCATAAATATTTATCATAAATATTATAAAAATATAAATTTTTTTCTCTTTTCTTAAATTTTTAAAATATATACACGTTTTTAGTTTTCACTTTATACTGTTTTACACATTATTTAATTCAAGTTAAATTTTACTTTGAAAATTTACTTACCATTACTGAGATTCGAACCTGAGATCTCTGATTCTTCAGTCATTCACCTTATCTACTGCGCCACCCCTTATAGAAATATCATACTAAGAAATACTGAAAAATTATTAGTGATTAAATATTACCAGTAATTCAGTAATTTTTTGGCCAGTACTTAATTTCTGGTGAATACTGATAATAAAATCACTGTTAAATATTGATAGTAATCAAATACTGAGAATTATTATGCGAATTATTATGAAAAATGAGAAAATCATAATGTTTACAAAAATATACTTATATTCCTAATTTTCTCATGTCTCATAAAC